CCCCCCCCCCCCACCCCCCTATCCTCAATATTCAGGATGCGGTGCTTTGCATGCAACCACGTGCACACCAAACCCTATATACTGTGGGGTTAGCTGAGAGAGTTCATTGTGCAGCACTTCTCCAGGCCTTATCATATCACCTGGCTCTTGAGACCTTCGGGCTTCGCTGGCTTGCTGCTGTGTATATACCCCTGTAGTTTGTAATATATATATATAATATATATATATATATATATATATATATATATATATATATATATATATATATATATCACCAATGGAATACCTCGCCGCATAGGTACTAGCAGCGTGATAGAGGCTGTGGATACGTTGTCAAATAACATCAAGTGGCATCCGTGTGCAGCCCCGCAGAAACTTCAGTCCACGCCTCCTCATACTTCCTAGCAGCGGGGTCTTAACTATAGAAACAGTACTGTGTAGCCCGGAGGCCTCCATAGAACTCTTTATTACTGTTAATTATATTGTTATTATTATTGAGTTAGTATTAATATTGTTACTGTTTTTATTATTACTAATGTTGCTTTTTACTTGCTTTGGTGGATGAAACTGAACACAGAAATTCGCACCGGCATCGACAACACCTCGGCGGGATGGTCGTAACTACCGATCAATAAAATATTTAGTGATTATTAATGGGGGAATTAAAGTTTATTAGTGAAGGAATTAACGATTAGTGGATAAAAGATGGCCTTTTAGTGAGTACACCCTCGATTATTAATTATTGAATAACGATTAAACTATAAACTGCTGGGGTTCTCATTGTCTCAGTCTATTCTCGGTGTGTCATGCTCTGCCTGAAGCTCGAAGACACATTTCTACTTGCGTGAAGGCTGCCTAGTGAGGGCAAAATAAGCGTTTAACAATTCTCTACTGTGCAAGCGCCTGCACCATGGCAGACTGGTTGCGGATACATGCGGGCTCGTCTTGCAGCGCTGGTTGCGGTGCTTCGCAACGCGTTAGTGCTCGTCTCCTCTCCCCGCCAGCCCCTAACCCCTCAAACCGCAGTTGTCAGGAGGCCAAGAGACTGTAGAGGAAGACTGCTGCCTTTTGAGATTTGTTCCATGTGTTTAGACTTGATTGAAGCTGATGATGGTTATCGTATACAGTCGGAGACCTTTGGCACACTTGGCATCACCGCATACTTCATCGGGCCAGGTGCCACCAGCGAACCCCACCCTGACAGCTAGTCCACCTGCTGTTTAGCACCAAATAATAGCGAAGTTGCTCTGTAAAAAGGATGTTAGCAAAACAATATCTAGGTACTTTTGCTTGAATGCGTGTCAAAATTTCAGCCCCTCTCTTCTGCAGAATGGTGATTGTTCGGGAGCTGCGTCAAGGTGGGAAGGCCTGAGAGGGTGGTTATATTGGAGCATGCGAAGTAAGCAAGTCGTAGAGAACAAAAATACTTCTACGGAAAAACAAATCATGAAGAATTCCTCTTTCCAGATGCTTTCGTCAGCCGTCCAGATGTGAAGGGCGCCCCGTCGAGCGGGCAGTGGAGGATCTTCTCTTTTTCCTAGAGCTCTACTTCCGTCTTCAAAAATGCAGTCGAACGGTTACAGTTGCTACTAGCACCTTTGTGAGTCGGAGGGAAGGCTCCGGAAGGGCAGCTATATCTACGCAAGGGTAGCACTTCTCTGTAGCACACCAGGGCGGTGGAAGCTTCTTTATATTCATTCCCAGAAAGCCAAAAGGACTAGCTATGGTAGAGAAAAGCCCCTGATTGAGCACTACACCGAGACGTACAAATCGTTGGTGAACGGAAGTTCAACGACTGACTCGGAACTTGTATACCCATGCTTCGAGCGGCGTCCCCTGGAAAGACGCAGGCGGCAGCAAGTTCGGCCATGCAGAGGGAGCGAAGGGGAAAGGAGAGAATTTGACGCTATGATGGTGCACTTACGCATCAAATTGTCGGGAAAATGCCACTTCACCGCCCTGGGTGAGAGGGATAAAAACGGGTTCGAGAATGGCCCTGATATATAGCTATGGATATTACGACTGTGAATGCCGGTCCCGAATAGAAAAAGACATGAAGCAAGCACAGATGCGTCTGCCTAGCACGGAACTCAGAAGGCGAGGGTGAATTGTCGAGCAACTATATTGGATACCTGCCGCTACTCACTCTGGTTCGTCTCTGAAGCGTCTAGTGGGCATGGCCAATGGTCATCTGCTATCTGGGGAGCTTCAGGCTACACAATGAAGTTGGAAACAGCTGTTCGACGCGGGCATTCTAGCCTAGTGAGAAATATCTGCTGAGCTACTGAAAATGCGCAGCTGCCGTGAACGCGTGAACAGGGGTCTGACCGGCCACCAAGGGGAGGTCCAGTCTAAATTTGTTAAAAAATTATACGACAGCCGTCGGCGTCGTCGTGCGGGCCATATGTATAGAGACGAGCACGGATCTCGGCAGAACGGGAATTAGTTCCTAAAAACAAACGCATGCACATACATGAGCAAAGCCGCCCTTATGGCAGAGCGCCGAGTTCTGGGCTGCGCTGCTCATGCCCAAGCTTTGCGGCGTTGTTGTTGAGACATGGAGTCCCTGCAAATATTCCCGTGGACTTAATCTGAGCAGGCATTCCTAATAATCCCAGTGTAGTTGTCTGTGTCCTAGCAAGTTTTGCAGCACTGTGCGCCCGAAGTCGGCACAGCAACACGTGCTTGGCCTTGGTAGGGTGCCTGCAAGCAAACATAAATGTTCAACACGCGTTTAGAGAGATCATTCATTCATGCAAAGAAGGTTCGTTAGAGCTTGCATGTGAGGCTATCTTGCACCCTTAGTTACTTCGAGGCGCACTGCAACTCATCATAGGCTGCAACATCTTCGCCGGCCAGAGCCCCTGAATCGCTGCGCAGAAGACTCTTGGAGACATTAGATGGAGGTCAGCTACTAGTAGATGACTCTTCCGTTATTCTTCATCTTAATTACGGCTCGCGGTGGCCCTCCAATAAGGCAGCAGAGTCTCATTGCACATAGGAACGCCGCACGGTTCATTGGGGCAGGTGCGAACAGCGAACTCCATTCGCCGGCCACATGACGGCCTAGTTTATATCGGCAATTCTACAAAAGAGAGAAGTAATGCACTCTGACATTTTTCTGAACTCTCTGCCAGCACTCCATTCCTCTCCTCTCGCTTATTGGAGATTGACCATGATCATCGGGTGCGGCGGACGCAACCCAAGATCGGGAGCCTGGGAGCTTCTCCAATAGGAAACAAACCCGATATCGACACCCATCCGGCGGAAGGCGCATTTCTACCAAGAAAAATTCAGCAGCAATGCATAGACGTCTGCTGAAGCATTCTATAACAAGGCACGTAGATGCGGAAGCAGTGAAGACTTTATGGTTTAGGGTTTGGGGTCTCGGGTTAACGCTAAATCCTCAACTTGTACCTTCGTTTCCAAAGCAAACATGAAGATAAACAACTTATTATTGCTATGGGCGCCTTCTAATTTAGAAGAACGCGAGTGACGATGGTCACTACACCTAAGCAAAGGTTGCGCTTTCCCGGAGAGCATTATATCCGTGCAAGCCCTCCGAGATGCGCTCCGGTGCAGGCTTATCCACCGGCCTGCAAAGGAACCTACAGTGGGGAAACCGACGAAACGTAAGCAGGGGAAACTGCCGATAGAGTGCTAAATCGAGAAGTATCAGTCTCGGTGAACAGAAGTCCAACGCTGGAACCGGAGCTGCTATATAATTGGTTTATAACAGGACTCTCCTGCGGTGAGAGGCAATGGGCAACCCTCTGAGCCGAGGAGAGGGAACTGGAGGGTGAATTTGTCAAACTCGCTGAGAAGATCGAGTAACTCCGCATGAAAGAAAGAAAAAACGCCACTTCCACAGCCCTAGCTGAGGAAAACGAGTTTCAAAACAAACAGTATTTCGGACACCGGCGTTGTGAATTGCAGACCAGCCAGCAGGGGACGAGAAGCGGTAACCGGCAGCAGCTATCGAATTCGGCCCCCAGAGAACCGAAAGGACGTACTGAGCCACGTATCTGCTTTTGTTCCAGTAAACGAGGTCACAGTTCGAGATTGCCAAGGAATCAAGCATGCAAAGGTACTAGAGAAGGTAGATTTCGATCACTGCCGCCAGGAGAAGAAGCGATATTGTCAAGGAAACTCCCAGTCCCCCGCAGAACGTGCGACACAGTGATGGGGCAGAGAAAGATGACGGGTGCACCGGAAGATCTACATGCAGTGAACTATGCCTTTTTACAAGGCAGTTTTATTTATCCGTAGTTATTAGTTAGGGGGTACGATATGGATCTCATATTGGAGGCCACAGCAAGGAGATGCAGCCTAACTGTCTGCTCGTTGGCGCGGCTTCTAAGAATATATTTCGCTGACGGCAGGCAGAACTCGGGAACTGGCAAACTATAGGCGGAAAGGAGACCTCTAACGCCGAAATTGACTTAGGGTCGGGACTTCTACGTTGGGCCAGCCCATCACGTCAAAATCCTAGACATGCCGTGCCTAACCTCCCGAAGGCCGCGTATGCGCTCCCGTGACATTATGGAGGTCTAAGTTCCAGGGAACGATGAGAACATGCACGTCTCAGCTCTCCCGATGGCATTTGCATCATCGACGGTAAGAGGAGTTAAAGCGGTCCCCTAAGGAAAGAGGAGGGAGGCCGCCTTTCTCTGCAAAGGAAACGATAAAGGAATAAGTGCACTCAGTCGCGATGCTCCTACGAAGACCCCAGTTTTGGATAAAATTTACTTGACGCCTGAGAAATAGCAGAAACTGGCACAAAACACTTTCTCAGTTTTACTATACAGCAAAGCGCTGCCAGCGGACAGGCCGCCCGCTGGACGCTCAGTTCACCCCATCAAACTCACTCCAGGAGCAGCGGTAAGCTTTGTTTCAAAGTAGTGGCAACCCCCACACCTTGAGGTGGAAGCTGAGCAGCAAGTATTTGATCTGCTTAGACCGATAGGGGAAATTCTCAACCTTCAACTAGCGCATGCGGTGTTGGCGAAAAAAAGGCATGGGAGATGGCGCATGTGCGCCAGCTCCAAGCCGCTCAAAAAATACACAGTGAAATAGAAGTCTTCCAATAGCCTGGATAGACGAATCTGCCGAGCAATTGGGGGGCTCCGCACTCTATTCACCATTTGAATCCGCCGAGGCGCTTTTGCATATTTGAATACACCCTGACGAAAGCCGCAATCATGCGTTTCATACCCCACCTGACGAATTAGAGTATGCGTGTGTGCGCTTTGGGCTCATAAATGCACTTGCAGAAGTGCAGAGACAGGTCAAGCATAACTTGTTTGGGCCAGTCCGACTCCTCTCCCCGGGCGCCAGGTCCTCCGGCCGCCCGACTATGGCTGCCTGGCGACTGGAGAAGAAGTCAGCTACATTTTGGAAACTATCAAGTATTTCGACTTCTTTGCACCTCAAAGCTGTCCTCAGATAAGACCGAGGATTCTCCTTACATCCTGACGTCTTCGCGTGCAGTCTGGCGGATGTTTTAATACCAGCGGCACCGACAAGAACAGCAACAGCACTGGTGGCATCAGTATCAACAGCATCAGTGCTAGAAAGGCAAGAAGCGGCGACTGCCGATGCAGCTACTGTTTGCTCGTGAGCGCTACCTCACGTTTGCTTCTGTAAGCTTTTTCTGTAGCCCAAACTGCGATCTCGTACGCCTCTCTGTATGCCGTCTAGCGCGACCATCCCCGTACCACAAGCAGCCTGATAACCCGCCAACGGCAGCGGAAGCGACCCTTACTCCACCAGCTAAACGCACTTAATCGTCCGGAACTGTCCTTTTTAATGGCTACCTATTGTAACCTGCGAGCGCGCTCTGCTGGATGGCCTCATTCTACTCTTTCTTGAGCATCCGTCCGGGCCCTGGCCCCCCCTCTCTATCCTTCGCTTGTCTGCGGATGACACGTCTTTACGTTTCTTTCTTGTGCGGTTTGGATTCAGCAGGAGATATTATTTCGGCCTAAATGGGCCTTTTGAGATCATTTTATCCTGCTGTTCGTGCCTACCTTTGTTTGAAAAGTATTATCTCAAGTATTTCAACTCTTGCAGCTCACGGTAGTCCTCCGATAAGACCGAAGTGTTTTCTGAAAAGTATTATCTCAAGTATTTCAACTCTTGCAGCTCACGGCCGTCCTCCGATACGACACCACTACGCCACATACCAGCACAACCAAGCCCTTTTGCTTCACGCGCTTACACAGTATGTAGCTTTTAAGCACCTACTTGCCCCTACATAGCCAGCCTGCGCTCAAGTACGGATACGCATATCAACTTCACGCAGAGCGTGGTTGTAGTGCACTGGCACTACAATGCTGACTCGGAGACGGTCAGTGGGCAAACAATGACGAAAAACCTCTAATTGTACGTAAAAGTGAGAACAGTGACAGTCAACTGTAGGCAAATTGATAGGATAGGGAACCCGCCTTCCCTCCGGAGGCGAAGCCGTAAGTAAGAGGAACGGCAAGGACGCCGCGACCCATACGCAGGCCCCCCTTGCGGTTCTAGGGTCTAGTGACCGACCACCCTTGAGGGAGGGTGATCGGGCACGGTCAGAGGTTTTAGTATCCCAATCAACCAATTTTCCTTCTAATATTTGCCCAAGATAATTATTCTCAACGTTACTCCCTCCTGATAGTTCGCATACCAGCTTCCCGTTGCGTTATATGGCAGCTAGGCATAGGCCGTGTCAGCGGTCCGTGTCACGGCAGTGTATTACATCTGGGGGCTGTTCCGGGAACTAGTAAGGCCAAAACCCACCCAAATTCCTGGAAAGGGGCCTAAACCTTACCAGAAAAAACAGTAATTTTACCTACCCGTAAGGTCTCTCGCCCCAAGACACGAGGGGACGCGCGTGTCCGACCTTACCGTGGAGATAAGCGATACTCGGAGATCAACGAACAAAGGTGAGCCATTCAAAGAGTCCGTCAGTGGAGAGGGAAAGAACGCCCTCAGACACGAGAAAGACTGGTTCTCGGCGAGACAAGGAGTCAGCAAAGAGAAGACAAACGGAGTATCCTACGACAGTGAGCCAGGAACTGGACGAAGGGAAATCCCCTCCCGACTGGAGGGACACGATGGTAGAGCTAGTCAAGGAACTAAAGGAAGGTAATCGTACTATGCAACGTTTCGCGGCCGATACGACAGAGGGAATAGTGAAACTTCAACGCCAGACTAGCGATGGAATCCTGGCCGCAACCGATGGCCGGAACAACGCTACGCCTGACAGAATCAGGCAGAAGGATATTATCGCGGCTGAGGACGGGACCAACATGAGATCTTTCCTGAATCTAGTAGAGCGGGAATTCAAGAACTCAGTTGTTCCCATAGAAGAGTGGGGCGAGCTCCTGGGAAAATACGTGACGGGCAAGGCCTTAGTTTTCGTAGAATTCCTACAGCAGTCCGGAGTGGACATGTCTGACTGGCAGGAGGTTCGGAAAAGATTATGTGATAGGTTTTGTTCGCTAACGCGGAAAGAGATGGTAAAAATGTTGAAAAAGAACACTTGGACGGGAAACTATTCTGAGTACATCACCCGATTTACAGATATAGTAGCTGTAGGGACCCACATACCACCCGAAGAATTAGTGCTACGGTTCTTTACGTTAATACCTCCCGAGATAGGAGAAAGGATTTCAGCTGAGGGAACTAGGAAGTTCCGCGACTGGCACGAAGCAGCAGTGGCTTTGAGAGCGTGGGCCGAACCGCTAGAGACGTGGCGTGCTGCTAGGATAAAAAGCTTGCAGGAATTTATGGCGAGCGACCACGAGGAATCGGGCATGGAAGGGAGCGTACTTACGAACGGGGAAACAGCCCCACCAGTGAGAAAAGGGGGCCCGGTAGAAGAGGGCAACGTTAGACGGTGCTACGAGTGCACAGGGAAGGGACACTTTGGTAGGGAATGCCCCCTCNAGAAGAGGGCAACGTTAGACGGTGCTACGAGTGCACAGGGAAGGGACACTTTGGTAGGGAATGCCCCCTCCGCAACGGCGTGCCGAGGCGCGCGGGCGAAATATGCACTAAATGCGGAGGAAAGGATCACTACGCGCGAGAGTGCGTCAGGCCACAGAGGACACCAAGCGGGAGACAGGCCGGACGAGACTCAGGAACAGATATAGCCGTCGCGGGACCACGGTTGAACGGGCGGGCCTAGGCGCGGCGGGGGACCCACGCTCTAGGCCTAATAAGCAGATAGATGGCTCAAGGACCCAAACTATTACAGGGAACGAGGTCATCTCTGCTCCGGTCTCCCTACACTCGGGACATGAAGAAAGGCGTAGAGAGGCGAGGAGGCGATTAGAGGGTGGAGGTAGTGGAAACAGGCCGGCTTGGAGGCGAGTACGGTTTGCTGACAGAAAACCTGAATCGCTCCCGCCAGGGGAAAACGAGCGAGAGTCCGCGATGGAGCCCAAAGGGGGGATGGAATCTGAATTCTCGCATAGCCGACCAGAAGAGGATAACGAAGGAGACGGGCGATTAATGCCCGAGTGGCTATGGCGGAGTGAAGGTGACGCACCGGAACAAACACGCGAGAACTTGGACCCACTATGTGCGATCGGTGAATCTGCAGTACTCGAAGTAGAAATCATCGGCCACAAATATGAGGGACTGCTTGACACCGGCGCGTCCCGCAGCTTTGTCCGTCCAACGGTAGTAGAGGAGCTGGGGCTGAAGGTACAAGCCCTTAAGGCGCCGTACTCATTCACGGTGGCGAACGGCGCCACAATCCACATAGACAAAGAGGTCCAGAGGCTGACGATGCTGTGTGGGGGAGAATGTTTCACGGGGGACTTCCTAGTCGGCCCCATCCCATTCCCGATAATACTAGGAATAGACTGGCTAGTAAATCATGACGTGGCCTGGTACTTCCAATCGGACAAAATTAGAACCTACGTTAACGGAAGATGGTGCAACCTTCCCGTTCTAAGGAGGGGAGGCGACGTGAACCCTCACGGGAAAACGAAGAAAGCGGAGCGGGCAAAGTCTGCGGCGGATCGGGCTTACGAGGAACTAGCAGCCCAGGTGGCAAGGATGACGGTGGAGGAGGCGGCGGCACTGTTACGACCCCCACCTAAACGGTACAAATCGAGACACAAGGCGGGAGAGCGGGTAAAAATTAAGGATATACTTCGGCAAGCGAGAGAGGACACGGCGAACCTGGAGGGGGCACTTGAGGGGCTACTGTGAGAAACTCCCCTTTAGAAACGCCAGTCTAAGGGGAGTTCGGGGCCTTAGGGATCATGTGGCCCT